GCATGCCCCCCACTGGGGATTGAGCACTGAAACCCAGGCATATGCCCTTGACCGAAATCGAACCCGGAACTCCTCAGTCCACAGGCTGACGCTCTATCCACTGAGCCAAACCTGCTAGGGCTGACTGATACTTTTGATAAGTATAATCATGGTTTTGTGTTTAAGTTGAAAAAAATATATTATTTTCTTTTGAAGATAAAAAGTGGCATATTTACAAATGAAATGATGTGATGCCCTCCTATTTTCCTAAAGATATCCAGTGAGTAATAATTGATTCAGGCAAGAGTGGATGCTAAAGGAGTAAAAGTTTGGTGAGTAGCAGGCTGTTTACAGAGTCTCCAAGTACCACCCCACAAGACAGTTAATAATTACAAAGGGGGTAATAGTAACTTCAAAGTGAAGAGACTTGGCAGATACCACCAAGTGATAAAAGTTAGCATGGTTGATAATGAGGCTAATTAAGAAAAAAACACATTACTTCTGTGATATTTTTGCCAAAAAATGCATAGCCTGAATGTAATCATGAAGAAATATCAGACAAATCCAAGTTGAAGGGCATTCTATCGAGTAACGGGCCTATATTCTTCTAAAATGATTTTTCAAGATCGAAAAAGATAAAGGTTCAGAAACTATCCTTTATTTGTTCATTTTTATTTTTAAAAACTGACTTTTAGCCAAAACCGGTTTGGCTCAGCGGTAGAGCGTTGGTCTGCGGACTGAAGGGTCCCAGGTTCGATTCTGGTCAAGGGCATGTACATTGGTTGTGGACGCATCCCCGGTAGGGGGTGTGCAAGAGGCAGCTGGTGGATGTTTCTCTCTCATCGATGTTTCTACCCTATTTCCCCAAAAATAAGACAGTGTCTTATATTAATTTTTTCTCCCAAAGTTGCGCTAGGTCTTATTTTCAGGGGATGTCTTATCTTCCATGCGCTAGGTCTTATTTTCGGAGGATGTCTTATTTTCGGGGAAACACAGGTAGCTATCTTTCTCCCTTCCTCTCTGTAAGAAAATCAATAAAATATATTTTTAAAATTAAATAAAATAAAAACTGACTTCTAGAGAGAGAGGGAAAGGGAGAGGAACATCGATGGTCCACCTCCCGCACGCCCCCCAGGGGGATCAAGCCCACACCCGGGCACATGCTCCAACTCTCAACCTTTCAGGGCACGGGACAATGCCCGACCGATTGAAGAGACTGAAGAGATAAATGAATTCAACACGTGGTCTGCGATTTTCTTCTAAGGTAACAGTCAGTAATGGGGCAATTGGTGAAATCTGATGAAGGTTTGTAAATTTCCTCATTTTGATAATTTTACTGAGGTTAGGACAGTGGTTGGCAAACTCATTAGTCAACAGAGCCAAATATCAACAATACGATTGAAATTTTTTTAAAAAATATTTTATTGATTTTGTACAGAGAGGAAGGGAGAGAGATAGTTAGAAACATCGATGAGAGAGAGTCATCGATCAGCTGCCTCTTGCACATCCCCTACTGGGGATATGCCCACAACCAAGGTACATGCCCTTGACCGGAATCGAACCCGGAACCTTTCAGTCCCTAAGCCGACGCTCTATCCATTGAGCCAAACCGGATTCGGCTGAAATTTCTTTTGACAGCACATTTTTTAAACTTCTTCTAACACCACTTCTTCAAAATGACTCGCCCAGACAGTGGTATTTTGTGGAAGAGCCACACTCAAGGGGCCAAAGAGCCGCACGCGGCTCGTGAGCCAGTTTGCCGACCACAGCCACAGGGTTAGGAGAATGCCTTGTTCTTAGGAAACAAAGTATTCAGGAGGATAGATGGATGATAGATGATAACTAGATAAACAGGTAGATTAGGTAGATGGGTGGGTGGACAGGTGGATGGGCAGACAGGCAAACAGATGGGAGCCTGGATGCTAAGAAGTAGGCATCTGTCCTCCTTACCCAGACCAATTTCCTCTGGAACGCTTTTATATGAGAAATCCATTTCCTTCCCCTCACTTCCCGCAAGCCTGAGAGTCCATTTATTTGATGAACATGGATGAAGTTTCCAGCCAGGCATCAGGCACGCATTTCTCTTTCTTCAATTACCAATAGTTTGTTTTCTATTTGCAGCTGAGCCTGATCTTTCTTTAAATTATTATATTTTTAAAATGTATTTTTATTGATTTAGAGAGAGATTGGGAGAGATAGAAATATAAATGATGAGAAAGAATCATTGATTGGCTGCCTCCTGCACGCTCCACACTAGAGATCGAACCTGCAACCCGGGAATCGAACCGTGACCTTCTGGCTCATAGGTCAAGCTTCAACCAGTGAGCCATGCCAGCCAGGCACTGAGCTTAACCTTGCTATCATTATTAAAAGAAATATTCCAAAATTATGGCGTGACATGTGGAAGCGACCGTGTCATTCATAACAATGATATGGTGAGATTTGAGGATTTTTGTTGAATTGGTGGTATAATGCCAAGAGAGGTCAGCTGCCCAGAGGCTGCAGAGGTGCACCCTGTAGAACTGCTAATGGCAATCATGGCCATTTACTTTTAAATTAGAGTTAAAATTTAGTCCCTGCATCACACTAGCCAAACTTCATGTGCTAAATAGCTCACAAGTGGGCAGGGCTAATATGGCATAGTTCCATCAATGCAAGAAGTTCTATTGAGCCAAAACCGGTTTGGCTCAATGGATAGAGCATCAGCCTGTGGACTGAACAGTCCCAGGTTCAATTCCGGTCAAGGGCATGTACCTTGGTTGCGGGCACATCCCCAGTAGGGGGTGTGCAGGAGGCAGCTGATCGATGTTCCTAGCTCTCCATCTTTCTCCCTTCCTCTCTGTAAAAAAATCAATAAAATATATATTTTTAAAAAAAGAAATTCTATTGAGATTATGGAATCTGAAACCTTCTTAAACTATGGTCCCAAGAAGATGCCTAAAGGTGTTTGGTGAAAAACAGGCATTGCTGGGGTCACTTCAGACCTATTCAAATCAGAATCTGTCACTGCAACGCCTAAGAATTTGCATGTTAACAGGTTCTTCCAGATGATTCTGAAGCTTCCTAATATCCAACAGGCATTAGGAGGAAAGGAGGTGAAAGTCACCTTGCCTCCCTCTAGGTTGGTCCCTCCCCATTCTAGGCTCCAAGATTTGAGAGATCAGTAACGTGGATCTTTAGGATACTGAGGAGGATCCGATGTGATTGCCATTTTAAATCAAGGACTGCCTGGGTTCAAATCCCGACACTTCCACTCACATGCTACATGAGCGTGGGCAGTTCACTCGCTCTCTCTGTGCCTCAGTTTCCTTAACCTTTTACAGTGCTGATGGGAGTACCACTTACTGAGACGACCATCATTTGCTTTTGCTTTCATTTATTTCACAAACATTGATTGAGAACCTACTGTGTGCTAGTCACTGTTCTGGGACCAAACAGTGAAGACAGACACCAACCCCTGCTGTCATAGAACTAGCATTGTAAAGGGGAGATAAAAAATAAACAGGATGAAGCAAAGCGTGTTCCATGTTAAAAGAGTAGCAAGAGAGGCAGATAGGAAAAGAAACTAGCCCTGGCTGGTTTGGCCTGCAGACTGAAGGGTCCTGGCTTCGATTCTGTTCAAGGACACATACCAGGGTTTCAGGCTCAGTCCCCAGTAGGGGATGAGCAGGAGGGAGCCAATCAATGATTCTCTCTCATCATTGATGTTTCTCTCTCTCTCCCTCTCCCTTCCACCCTGAAATCAATAAAAAAAAATTTTTTTTAATTAAAAAAAAAGAAACTCATGTATGGCGAGGCTAGAAGCCTCACCCATGGTATATCTGGATATAGTTTTGAAGGAGAGAAGAATTCCAAGGATGCCTGGGGGATAATCATTCCAGACAGAGGGAACAGCAGGTGCAAAGGGCCTGTGGTGGAGAGCTAAGTGCTGCTTAACATGCTAGACACAGTGGTGAAGAAGACAATACAATCCTTACATCCAGGTTCTCATATTTTAATGGGGGGGGGGGTAAATTGTTATATAAAATACTGCCGGTTGATGGGCTAGATGGGAAGGGAGATGGTTAGGGCAGGCCTGAAGGAGGAGGCGTTGGAAGCATGTAAGTATCTGGGGGAAATGTATTGATTCTTGCCTGACCATTGCCTCTTCCCTCCAAACTCTACTAAGGCCTCGAGTTTGCAGAGACTGTCTCTGCACTACTGGCGGGAGGGGAATCCCCAGGGGGGCGCAGGCCTTTCGGCCTCTGACTGCCGCCTGCCTCACTTCTCCCTCGCTGACCGCCCTAGTATTTGTGCTGGCGTTGCTGGGCGAGGCTTCAGCTTGGGCTCTGTGTTCCCAAACAAAGTGCAGCTCTCCAGAGGAGCCACTGAGCCCTGTGCGTCTGGGCAAAGGAGTGGGGTGTCACCCTGGAGCTGAGCGAGGCACCCACCCTCCGGCTGCATTCCATCTGGGCTTCTGCTGGCCCCATGCATGGCAAAGTGGGGGATCCTTTCCCTGGCCCAGGCTTAGAGCTGGCAGGATCTCAAGTCAGCCCCCCCAGAGTTCGAATCCGGACCGGTGCTGCTCCAGCGGGCTGTGTGGCCCTGAGCGGATCACGTCACTTCTCTAGACCCACAGCCCTACAGAAGGAGTCCTGCTGGGGAGTCACGTCGACGCGCCTGGAACATGCTCTGTCAGCCATTTCTCTGGGGAATACTGCTCTCAGGAGGACCCTGTGATAATCTCTCCAGCTCCCAGGGAGAGACATGTACTTGGGTTGGACAAAGGGGTCCCCACCAGCCACCACACCCTTCTTTAAGGAAAAGAGGAAGGCCCTGGACAACTGTCCTGGGGAGATGCCAGCGCTGACCCTGTTTTCTCAGCAGCCACTGCGGCCCCTGGTCTGGGACACGGAATGGGAAGACTGGCAAAGGGCGGTGGGTTGCCTGGGCAGCAGCCACCCTCCCCCATCCCATCCACCCCCAGCCACGGAGCGATAATGGGGGAACTACCACCGTAAACCTGAAAAGACAAACAGGCATCAGAAAGAGGAATTGAACCGTTTATTGGCCTGGGCCTGGTCTCAGACAATGGGGGCGTGGGGGCATCTGGGGAGCTGAAATAAGGGGAGGCAAGCCCCCATCTGGCTCCTTGCCCCCCAAAAGACCCTCCCAACCTGTGCATTCACAAGAAGTCACTTTGAGGCATGAGGTTTCCTTTCCCAGGTGAGCTGCAGCCCAGCTCTCACATGGGGGCATGAGCCGGCGATTACGAAGGCGTCTGAGTGTGGGGCCGGACCCCTCTTTGGCAGCTTCAACACAGACACGAGGAGACGGAATGGCATTCATCCTGGGGACACATGGGCACAGGTCGCAGACATCGCACACGCACACACAAGGACACGCACAGACACCGAGAGACACATAAATATGTTTGTACCGCAAGGACCCTCCTACTTATCCACAGGATTTAGCAGAGTCCTTCTGGAGCAGGTTCGGGGAGAGCCCCCACAAGCGTCCTCAGCACCCCGGCTCCCTGCTCCAGTCGCTACAGCTGGAAAGGAGGCCCAGTGGACTCCAGCCGCCCTGCCTTAGGAGAGCTGGGACCTCAGCTGGGGCCGGAGGTGTGAGTAGCCCGGGGGTGGTTGTTTTGAGGGGGAGGTGGAAGGGTCCTGGGCTAACAGCTCCCCCAGAACTTTCTCAAGTTCCACGCTGAGCCCTCCTCCGCTCCGCAGACAGGTTTTCCCGGCCCTTGGTGATTTCTCTGTGCCCCAAATAGTACAACTGGCCAACGAGGTCTGAGCATGGGGTTCAGCGCCCGGCCCTCCCTCCCCCTGAATCCGTGGTTTCCTGGCATCCCGTGGAGTAAGAGGAAAGGGAAGAAGTGGCCAAGTACCAGCTGACATTTGGGGAAGCTGTAGACTCGGGCTTGGGGAACTATCAGCCAGGGCTGCCCAGACAGTGAGGGAGGAGGCCTCCAGCCCCGGGGCACTGGTTCCAGGGAGGGGGCCTGAGGTTGCCAGAATGTGGCAAGGCGGAGAGTCAGAGAGGTCGTGAAACGAAATCCTTTGTACCGAGTTGTCAATGGCCCCTGCCCTGAGTTCCCCTTGAGTGCCTGCCTGCTGTCACCCAGGCCCTTTGCAGGGAACCTCAGACGTCCCCTGAGCCAGTTCTGAGGGGTCACACCAGCCACCGCCCTGGCCTCCAGGCCTCTGCCGGTGGCTCTTCCTTCCGCAGGTCAGGGCCTCCGCTGGCCTTCCCAGGTATGAGATATTTTCAATATCACCCAGGGCTGGGGCGTGGGCCACCTTGCTAGGCAGCCCCACCTCTGTCTGAGGTCACGCGGCACCTCCCCACGGAGCCCTCTGCCATGGCCTGGCTGTCAGCTCACGTGCCCCTCACACCACGGTGTTGCCCTCCAGAATCGTAGGCGACGAGGGCATGTGGGTGCCCCTCTCCAGCGAGCTCGAGCTACGGAGGGGCAGGAGGCGGTGATGGGGGGTCCCGTCCCGCCGTCCCTGCCCCCCCGCCACCTTCTGGCAGCACTGCAGGGGCCGCAGCACCTCCTGCCGCAGGTCCCGGCTCCGCCATGTGTAGATGACGGGGTTGAGCAGCGAGTTGAGGGTGGCGAAAGCAAAGAAGTAGTGGGCCTTGTAGAGGATAGGGCAGGCGCGCACGGGGCAGGCGTAGTCCAGGAGGAGAATGCTGAAGGCAGGCAGCCAGCAAACGATGAAGACCCCCAGCACGATGGTGACTGTCTTGAGAAGGGCCAGCGTCTGCGTGCCAGCCACCTCGGCCTGGCTGGAGCGGACCACGCAGTAGATGCGGACGTACAGAACTACGATGGCCGACAGGATGACAGAGAAGATGGTCACCACACAGAGCACGTAGTCTTTGGTGTAGAGCGGCAAAACGGTGGAGCAGCTCTCGAGGTGACCCAGGCAGTTCCAGCCGAGGATGGGCAGGCCACCGAGAACCAGCGAGATGAGCCAGGAGGCCCCGATAAGCAGCAGCATGCGGCAGCTCTTGTCGCTGCCGTAGACCTTGACCTTGGCGATGGCCACATGGCGCTCGATGGCGATGGCCAGGAGGCTGAAGACGGAGGCAGAGAGCGTGATGAAAGCCGAGCCCTCGCGGGCAAACCACTGCACGGGTGTCAGGTGCAGGGTGACGGAGCCCGAGAGCAAGGTGTTGGCTATGAAGGCCACGCCCGCCAGCAGGTCCGAGGCTGCCAGGTTGCCCAGGAACAGGTACATGGCCGAGTGGAACTTGCTGTTGCGGGCGACGGCGACCAGCACCAGCACGTTCTCCACCACGATGGCACAGCACAGGATGATGATGAGGACCAAGGCCACCTGGCGGGAGAGCGTCTGCGGGACATCCAGAGTCTCCTTGGTGTAGTTATAGTGCTCCAGGACCTTGTCGGGGTTCAGGTACTCCGAGTACAGGCTGCCCATGGTGGGGCTCAGTGGCCAGCCGAGGCCATGGAGCTGTCAGAGCTGCAGGGAGAAGAGACACAGATAAGACAGGTCAGGGGGCTGTGGACGCTGCCTGGGCTCTGACCCTGGACGCCGAGGGGTTGAGTCCCAGGGCCAGCACGCCTCACTGAGGGGCCAGCACGAAGTCAAAAATGATCAGGATCCCTGCTTCACAGATGGGAGACCCAGAGGAGTCAACTCACTTTGCCAGAGTCTCAAAGTCAGTAAGTGGCAGAGCCAGAGAGACCGGCTCCAAAGCCTCGATAGCAAACTCATTAGTCACCAGAGCCAAGTATCAACAGTTACAACGACTGAAATTTCTTTTGAGAGCCACATTTTTAAAACTTAAACTTCTTGCCGAAACCGGTTTGGCTCAGTGGCAGAGCGTCGATCTGTGGACTGAAAGGTCCCAGGTTCGATTCCGGTCAAGGGCACGTACCTTGGTTGCGGGCACATCCCCGGTGGGGGGTGTGCAAGAGGCAGCTGGTTGATGTTTCTCTCTCATCGACGTTTCTAGCTCTCTATCTCTCTCCCTTCCTCTCTGTAAAAAATCAATAAAATATATTTTTAAGAATAAATAAAACTTAAACTTCTTCTAACGCCACTTCTTCAAAATAGACTCGCCCAGGCCGTGGTACTTTGTGGAAGAGCCACACTCCAGGTGGGGCCAAAGAGCCACGGTTTGCCGACCACTGCTCTAGGCTACACTGTCTCGCAGAAGCTCCCACAAATGGCATGAAGGACACAAGTGGACTTCCTTCCAGAAGCCTTGCTCGCCTACCCAGAGGTGGAGCTGTGGGCAGGAACTGGAGGGCTTGCCCCTTTTCTCAAATACACTGGAGCCTTGGGCCTCGTGCCACCTGCTAACCTGGGTCAGAGAGATGCGTGGTGCTGACAGCACCATGCCCCGCTCATTACCACCCACTGCCCTCGGTTTCAGGCTGGGCGTAAGCCTTGAGGCTACGGGTGCTCCCAAAATAAGGTCTTGAGGTAAACCAGGTTGGCCCTGAGGTTCCAGCATCCCCAGAGGTCATGTCATCCCCGAGGACACAGGCCTGGGAGACAATCTAGTGTCAACGCCACACCCCCTCTGACATGCTGTGGAGTCTTGGGCAAGTCAATCGGCACACAGCCTCAACACCCTCATCTGTGCATCGGGGAGAAGAAAGCCCACTTCACAGGGTGACAGGAAAACCCTGCTGAGCAGAAACCGGTTTGGCTCAGTGGATAGAGCGTCGGCCTGCAGACTGAAAGGTCCCAGGTTCGATTCCTGGCAAGGGCATGTACCTTGGTTGCGGGCACATCCCTGGTAGGGGATGTGCAGGAGGCAGCTGGTCGATGTTTCTCTCTCATCGATGTTTCTAGTTCTCTATCCCTCTCCCTTCCTCTCTGTAAAAAAAAAAAATCAATAGAATATATATATTTTTAAAATCCTGTTGAACGCTGCTCGAGGTAGCCTTTTCCGGAATAAGCACGATTAGCTCCCTCTTTCCTGCCACACTATGCTTGGGACTAGATGCCCTCCACCCAATCTCTTGGGAGGGGATGCTGACTGAGCCAGCCAAGCAAGATTCCCGACAGCCTGTTCTCATCAGCACCATCTAGCCCTGCCCTGGGACAGAGGGTCCGGAGGGAGAGGCAGGGCGCTGGCACCCCCTCCCAGGCAGGATGAAATCCAGATGTGAGGCCCCTGGAACAAACAGGGTGGAGTCCTGGTTCCCCAGTCACATCCGCTGTGGGGAAGGCTGGGAGGGGGCGGTGGGCTGGGGGAGACACCCGAGACCAGCCTGGGAGGTCCTGGCTGGGAGGACGGGGCAGCTGCGCTGAAGTCATGTGAGAGGTGAGGGGGCGTGCGGCCCCGCGGGGAGGGGAGGGGAGGGGGACGGGATTTGTTTCCATGCAAGCCTGAGTCACCCCCTCGCAAGGAAAACCAATCCGTGGGGGAGGGGGCGGGAAGAGGTGCAGAGAGGATGCAAGGCCGACACCATGGCCGCCCTCCAGCTTGGGAGGGAGGTGTCTCTGAGGAGCAGAGCAAAGCGGTGCAGTCTGCCTTTCAGGAGGGGAACTGCCTGCTAAATGGGGTTGGGGGATGGGGCACAGGAAGAGCCCTCCCCAGATCCCTGGACACATGTCTGCCAAGGCCTGGCAGGGACCACATGTGCGCCAGGAGCCGCCTTCCAGAAAAGGCTGGTTGGGCCGGTTCTGAGCGAGCCGGGGAGTGATGGGGGACTTCCGGGGCCGCTCGGCTATCGCTGTCACCGTCACCGTCACCGGTGCCCCCTCGGGGAGGTGGCCCGGACCTTGGCCTGACAGGGAAGCAGCTGCTCCCTCCGGGCGAAGGGACATCCGTCCCAGTTTGGGAACAGAGAAGGGCTTGTGTGCGTCCCCGGGGCCGCTGCCCTGCCCAGATCGCCACACAGAGGCCCCTTGTTCCTGGGCAGGACAGAGCCTCTGGCACCCCGATGCCCTCTGCCCGCAGAGGGCCAGAAGCAGGCTTAGGCCCTACCAGCCACTGTCGGGCCAGACACAGCCTGCCCCCTGATTGGCTTGTTTTCAATCCCAAGGTGTTGAGCTATCCGCTCACTGGCCTGAGCTTTCCATCTTCGGCATCTGATTGGCCAGGCTTGGAAGCGCTCAGCAGCTACCACCACAGAATGGGTTCTTTCTGGAAGGCTGGAACTCGCTTCTTCCCGAGGAGAATTAAAACTGTGTGAACGTCCCTGGGGAGAGTTTGAACTGCCGTCTGACCGCCAGGTCATCCTCACCAGACATCCCCAGGCCGCCCGGGCCTACTGGGACCCTCCTGGAGTTTAAAATTGAGAATCAAAAACCCATCCCTGGCCTGGGAAGCACCCTTGCTAGTGGGGCCTGAAGCGCGGGGCGTGTCCTGTGGCTGCCCCCCTCCTTCCCTGAAGTGGGGCCACCCCCCTCTCCAGTCAGGCAGCCAAGAGAAAGATTTACGGCCACTTCCTGGGGAAATAAGACATGGGTTCAACCCTAGCTCGTTTGGCTCAGTGGATAGAGGACAGGCCTGCGGACTAAAGGGTCCCGGGTTCAATTCCAGCCAAAGGCACATGCCTGGGCTGCGAGCTCCGTCCCCAGTTGGGGGCGTGCAGGAGGCAGCTGATCAATGATTCTCTCTCACCATTGATGTTTCTATCTCTCTCCCTTCCTCTCTGAAATCAATAAAAATATGTATTTAGGATAATAAATAAAACAGAAATGGATTCAGCCCTTGAATCCTAGGAACGGACCAAAAAGTCTATCTTTTCCCTGGAAAACAAGACCAGGGCACCGCACGCTCATTTTCTGCAGCCCCGGAGGCTTGTAGGCATCCTCAGGAGGGGTGGCTCTCCTCGTAAGAGAAGGGGAAACTGAGGCCCACACTACTTCATCTTCCCAACTAGAGCTGTGCTAAGTATTAAGGTAAGTAGATGCTTTCCAGGTTGGGGCCAGCAGATGCATGCCTTGCCTGCTGCTCCTCCCTGTGTCGGCTCCCAGGCCTGGCCACACACCGGGCCTGACTCCGGCTCACCTTTGCCGAGGCCGCCCTGACTCCCTCCCAGAGGCTCCGTAAGAGTTCACTGGGCTCGGAATCAGGGAATGTCCAGGCCTGACATGGAGCAAGAAGGACGAGTGGGAACAAGAGACAGGGTAGGGCAGGGAAGGAGACACAGACAGACTGGGGGGAAGGGGGGGCATGATTAGGAGGGAGGGAGGCAGGAGGAAGCTCAGGGCTTCCAGGAGCCCCTTCCCCAAGTTCCACTGAGGCAGGCCTTGTGATTCAGTTCCCAGTGGTCACTCACTGATCCCATGCCTCTTGCCTAGGGCAGCATCCGCCCCAAACCCTTTCTTTTGGTTTCTTTTCAGCTGTCAGGGCCCTGCTGCACTGCCATTCTCCGTACAGCCGCCAGGGGCGCTCCAACATGTCACTCCAAATTCTTCCATGGCTCCCCACTAGCCCCAAAGGACCTGGCCCTCTGCCCGTTAGCTTCCTCCCACCCTCCCCCAGAGCCATGGAACCACACTGGCCTCCTACAGGCCAACCCTACCTCCTCGCCTTGGCCCCGGCTGTTCCCCCACCTGACACGCCCTTCCCCCAAATCCGTGAGTCTCCTCATCTTCCAGATTTGTTTTAAGGTGACTTGCTCTGACCCCCTGGTCTGTTACAGCCACTGTCCCCTCAGAGCCTCTAGCTTTGCTATCTTCGCAGCCCTTAACAAGTTTGAAAAGTATGATTTCTACTTTTCTGTCTGGCTTCCACCGTGGAATGTAAGTATCGGCAACCAAGTCCGTGTGCAGGCCCTTTGGGTTGCTACCTAGCATACACCAGGTGCTCAGAAACCATGGAGGACGGATGATGGATGGACGGATGATGGATGGACCAATCAACCAACCAATCAATGAAAAACCAATGAGGCCCCAGGGGGCCAGGGAGGGTGGAGGCTTCAGCCCCAAGCAGCAAAGGAGACGCCCGGGGTCTGCAGGCAGTCCTCTGAGGGCAGTCCTCCCTACGAGGCGAACGAAGCCCAGAGGCCCAGACAACGGCGACAGGACCCGCCCCCGCCTCGGGCCACAGTCTCAGCCTCCTTATCTGGCGGTGGAATGCACGGTATCCACACTCCGGGCTGCTGGGGCCGCACCTCCTTTCTCTTTGGCCCCACACACCAGCAAGCGCGGTATCTCCACATCTCCAAGTGCGGCTGGGGGCTCCACTCCGTCCCGCCAGGCGCCCTGCCTCAGTGCTCCCAGAGGACACGGGGGGAGAGGGGGTTACCAACCTCAGCCACAGGGGAGACTGTGGGCTCAGCGCGCGGCGTCTGGAGCATCTGACCAGAGAGAGTTTGGGGAGGGGGTGGAAATCCCCGGGTGAGTCAGTCCGTGCCGGAGGAGGGGGCGAGGTTCGGAAGCTCTGCGGGGCCTGGGACCCAGCGGGGCCCGTGCCACGCGCGCCTGCACGCACGCCCCATCGCCGGGCCCCAGGAAGAAGAGGCGCGGGAGCCACACGGCCACGTTCCCTTCTCTCCCAGAACAAAGCCAGGTCCCCGCCGGGGGAGGGGGAGGGAACGGAAGACTACTCGAGGAAACTGAGGCAGGGAGCCAGATGTGAAGCCTGCCTGCTTCGGGGGGCCCCGCCCCTCGGCCTGGGAGCTCCGCGGCGGGAGGGCGCGCTGCACCTTTGGCTCCACCCGAGTGAGCCCAGAGGGGCGCCCTCCCCGCCTCCTACGCGCGCACTCCCCAAACTCCCCGGGCGCGCCGTCCTGCCTCCCGGGCTCCGGCCAAAAGAGCCTGGATTCCGCCTCCTCCTCGGAGCCAACTTCCTGCCGCCGGGTGAGCGCAGTCAGGGGTTCGCGGCGGGGCCCGCGGGAGCCGATCGGAGCCGCGGGGAGGGCGCACGGCGACCCCTCCTCGCTCAGGGCAGCGGGAGCGCGCCCGACCCCGGCCCCGACCAGGCCCCCCACCCACGCCCCGCGGCTCGGATCCCGCGCCCCGAGTGCACCGAGCCCGCCTCTCACTCCCCCCCACCCCTTGCCACGCATGCTCACCTGGCGAGGCGGCCCGGGTCCCTGCCCTGGCCCGAGGGGCTTTGGCATCGGCGCTCCCAGACGGCCGCGGCTGGGGCTGGGGCTGCCCGCCGGGCTCGGCTGCGTCCCGGCTGGGTAGAGACCGAGAGGGGGGCGGGGAGAGACGGCGCCTGCCCCCCCTCGCCCCGCCCTCCTCTCCTCTCCTCTCCTCCCCTTGCGGGAGGGAGGGGCAGAAATGAATTCCAGATGTGGTCTGCCGGGCCGGGCCGGCGCGCGCGGGCCGGCGGGGGTGGTGCGCCCGTCCCTTTGTCCGCGCCCCCCAGCCCCCCGCGGCCCGGCCCCTCCCAGGCCCTCCCGTGAGAACCGGCTGGAGCCTGACGTCACTCGGCCCCGTGACTTTGTGTCCCTCCTGGCCAGGTGGCCCGAACCCGAAACAGCCGTCTCCAAGGACAGATGTATGCCGGCCCGCCCCTGGGACCCCGGGATGGGAGGAGAGCGCGGGGTCCCCTTGACTCAGCAAGGAGCCAATGAAGCACCTACTGTGTGCCGTCGCAGCAGTTAGGCATCAAGGCCTATGGTGTGTTCATTTCAAAAGATAATCAAGTGCCTACCATGCGCCACGCACTGTCCCAAACACAGAACTGATTTTTGCCTTGATAGGATCCCAGAATCCCGCGTCGCCTCCTGCCCGGGAGACGCAACCCTCAGCCTAACCTGCCTTTGTCCACGGCAGCCCCGCCCTCGCTGCCAGGTCCCAGTCGTATCCTGCCTTCCAACTTGGGGCCCATCCTCTACCTGGTTCTTGAGTTCCCACCCCTTTTCCTCACTCAGCCTGCACTAGTTGTGAACACGCATAAACAATCTGCTTATATGTTCATTTACCAAATACGCTAGACACCTGGTTTGTGCCAGACACTCTCCTGAAGGGTAGAGACGAAGCAGGCAACACGCCGCGTCCCCCGGGGGGTTGATTTCTACCTGACGCGGACAGAAGATTCAGAATATTGCAAGAAGAAACGTAAGTGTCCCGGGGAGGAGGCTGTTTCACTCTGATTCCTTTGTGCCTTTTGGCTGTTGTAACCTGCACAATACTGTGACGTGTTTAAATATTGCAACAATAGCTGAAACCGGTTTGGCTCAGTGGATAGAGTGTTGGCCTGCAGACTGAAGGGTCCCGGGTTTGATTCCGGTCAAGGGCATGTACCTTGGTTGCGGGCACATCCCCAGTAAGGGGTGTGCAGGAGGTGGCTGATTGATGACTCTCTCATCGATGTTTCTAACTCTCTATCTCTCTCCCTCTCTGTAAAATATTTTTTAAAAATAAATAAATAAATATTCCAACAATCAATTAATTAAAAATTAAGCCTGCTTGCCCCGCTGGTGTGGCTCAGTTGGTTGAGCATTGTCCTATGCACCAAGAAGTTGCTGGTTAGATTCCCTGTCAAGGCACATGCCCTGGGTTTCAGGCTTGACGCCCACTAAAAATACATTACAAAAACACACATATTTTTAAAAAGTTAAGACTGTTTGATACCCAGACAGTGCAATAAAAAAGAAGGGAGAGGGTAGGTGCTTCAAAACAAACGAACAATAAAATTATGAAAAAGGATACCTACACTCCCATGTTTATGGCAGCATTATTCACAATAGCCAAGACATGGAAACAAGCCAAGTGTCCCTCAGTGGATGACTGGATAAAGAAAATGTGAGCCATAAGTGTTTGGGCTCAATGAATAGAGCATTGGCCTGCAGACCAAAGGGTCCCAGGTTCGATTCTGGTCAAGGGCATTTACAATACCTTGGTTGCAGGCTCCTCCCCGGCCCTAGTCGGGGGTTCATGCAGGAGGCAACCAATTGGTGTGTTTCTCCTACATCGATGTTTCTCTCAGTCTTTCCCTCTCTCTTCCATTCTCCCTAAAAACCAATGGAAAAATATCCTCCGGTGAGGATTAACAACAAAAAAGGAAAAAATGTAATATATATATTTCTATATATAATTTTCCACTTATAATTTCATATATATAAAATATAATGGAATATGGAGAATCCTGTCATTTATAACAACATGAATGGACCTTGAGGGCATTATGCTAAGTGAGAGAAAAAATCACAGAGAAGGACAAATAGTGCACGGTATCACTTATATGTGGAATCTAAAAAAAGAAAGTCAAGCCCAGAGAAACAGAGAACAGGAAAGCGGCTGGCAGGGGCTGGGGTGGGGGAAACGGGGAGCGGTGGGTGAAAGGGTACAAACTTTCAGCAATAACATGAAATAAGATCTGAGAATCAAATGTGAAACATGGTGACTATAGTTGATAATACCGTATGATATTGAAATTTGCTGAGAGTAGAACTTAAATGTTCATACACACACACACCACACACCACACACCACACCTCACAAAAACATAAATAAGTGAGGTGATGGATATATTAATTAAGTCAATGGGAGAACTCTTTCAGAATGTATACGTATATCAAATTACTATGATGTGTGCTTTAACTACCTTATAATTTTTATGTCAATAAAGCTGAAATTAATCAAAGAGAACACTATACTGCTTGATACCTTCATAAAGGGTATTGGAAAGCAAAATGATGAAAAAAGGACATTAAAATGGGCCCATTGAGCCCTAGCCGGTTTGGCTCGGTGAATAGAGAGCATCCGTCTGCATGTTGAAGGGTCTCAGGTTCGATTTCGGTCAAGGGCACATGTCTGGGTTGCAGGCTCAATCCCCAGTAGGGGGCGTGCAGGAGGCAGCTCATCAATAATTCTCTTCATTGGTGCTTCTACCTCTCTCCCTCTCCCTTCCTCTCTGAAATCAATAAAAAAAAATTTAATAGATCCATTAATGCCTATTACAGAATTAAAATGGAGTAGTCTTGTTTGTACTGAGTGAAAGTGTCTCCAACCTGTTAACTTGAAAAACACACAAATTAGAACAGCTTGCGTTGTTTGCCTGAACTTCTGTGTGTATTTATAAGGGCTGTATAAATACACGCGCATTTGCCTGTGTATGGCTCACAGACCATCTCTGGGAGAGGCACAAGACACCCGTCACAGCGGTTAACCTCAGGAGGACAGGTGATGGGGTGTCAGACTTTTCATCCTGTGCCCTGTAATACTGTTTGCAATGGTTAGTTCCTATTACCAATTCAAAAACTTAAATAAAAGGTAACAAATCACCAGACCTTTAGTTGTAAAATCATTCCTGTAATAATAATGATCAATATAAACATACAAAATACTATTAATAAAGATATTGATATTATTATTGAACTTATCAATATTAACAAATTTCTATTAAGAATAAACATGTTGCCTGGCTAACGTGTTTAAGTGATTGAACATTGACTTATGAACCAAGAGGTCATGGTTTGATTCCCAGTCAGGGCACATGCCCAGGTTACAAGCTCGATCCCCAGTCGGGGGCATGTAGGAGACAACCGATCTTTCTTTTTAAAAATGTTTTAATTTAATTTTTTTACATTTTTATATTTTATTGATTTTTTACAGAGAGGAAGAGAGAGGTATAGAGTTAGAAACATCCATCAGCTGCATCTTGCACCTCCCACACCGGGGATGTGCCCGTACATGCCCTTGACCGGAATCGGACCTGGGACCTTTCAGTCCTCAGGCCAACGCTCTATCCACTGAACCAAACTGTTTTCAGCCAGTTATTCTCTTTCATCATTGATGTTTCTATCTCTCTCTCCTTCTCCTTTCCTCTCTGAAATCAATAAAAACATATTTTTATAATGTAAGTTCTTTTAAAAAATATTTATTGTTGTAAGTATTACATATGTCCCCCTTTTTCACCCATTGACCCCTTCTAACCTGCCCTCACCCCACACTTTAATCACCCTATTGTCTGAATACGAGTTCTTGGTTGATCTATTCCCACCCACCCAATAAAAACATATTTTTAAACAATTAAAAAAAAATAAACAGGTTGCCTTGGTCAGTTTTCTCAGTGGTTAGAGCACCAGCCCAAGAACCAAAGGGTCTGCCGAGACTGGTTTGGCTCAATGGATAGAGTGTCAGCCTGCGGACTGAAGGGTCCCAGGTTCAATTCCGGTCAAGGGCATGTGTACCTTGGTTGCGGGCACATCTCCAGTAGGGGGTATGCAAGAGGCAGCTGATTGATGATTCTCTCATTGATGTATCTAACTCTCTATCCCTCTCTCTTCCTCTCTGTAAAAAACCAATAAAATATATTAAAAAATAAATAAATAAAAAGAACCAAAGAGTCTTGGGTTTGATTACTGGTCGAGGACATGCATGTACCTGGGTTGCAGGTTCAATCACCTGTTGTTTGGGGCAAGTACGGGAGGCAACACATCCCCAATTGACTTTTCTCACATCAATGTTTCTCTCTTTTTCCTTTCCCCTCTCTCTAAAATCAATAAACTTATCCTCAGGTGAAGAGAGTTAAAACAAAACAAAACATGTTTATATGATTAACAAAAAAATGCATAAAGATTATAGTAATGCGACATATATGTATGCAGCATATCCTATATAATAAAAGGCCAATGTGCAAATCGACCAAACGGCAGACCCACTGGTCGCTATGATGCACCCTGACCACCAGGGAGAAGATGCTCCATGCAGGAGCTGCCCCCTGGTGGTCCGTGTGCTCCCACAGAGGGAGCGCTGCTCGCCCAGAAGTGGGGAGTGGGCCTACACTGTCAGTCGGACATCCCCCGAGGGCTCCCTGCCCCTGAGAGTGCACACATTTCTCCCACCCCGTCAGTGCACACATTTCGTGTACCAGGTCTCTAGTATATTCATATAATGCTCTGTGCTGGCTCTGATGATGCCTCCTTGGTCTCTGTCATCCATACCTGACTGACGGAGGAGGCAGTGAAGAAACCAGACAGTTCTGATACAGATCCACGGGGCTTTGATGCAGAGATAAGGAAAGAGACCGTGACTTTGCTCCTTTTCCTGAACCAGGTTTCAGCGTCCACTCCTTTCAGGGCCAGATCTTGGGGTCCACTGAAACCTCAGCAAAACCCCACTGAGTCCTCTGCCAAGTGACATGTGTTGCCCGGGCAACTTCTCGAAACCAGGTGTTCAACACACAGGGGACAAGGCACAGAGCAAACTGGGTCTCTTCTCGACGGGGAGCTATCAGAGCGGAAATCTGAGCTCTTTGTGGGGACCTAAAAGCTGGGGAGGAAGTGACCCCCCCCACTTGCCTGAGTTGGCTCAGCAGTTTGCCATCCCTCCAGGGACCTGGGGGGTGGGGATGAAGTCAAGGCCAGACATAGCTGGCGCCTGCTAGACAGACCATGGCTACTAGACAAAGGTGACACCCTCAGAGACACAGAGATACACCCACAGGCAACTTCCGTCTCCTCTTCTCAGCCCTCTCACCTCCCACTTCTGGGGCAACACAAGGTCTCGGCTGGGTCAGCCGAGGGAACGGGCTGGAGAGCTGGAAAGCACGGGAGGCCTGGACTTCCTGATAGTCTGCAGGGGCGGGGGAGATGGCGTCCAAGGGAAAGCTGCTCTAAGGGACTCCTGAGAGGGAACAGTGGGCGAAGAAGGAAATGACCCTTCTCTTGGGAGCTACCAGGAAGGGAACATAGAGGTGAAGAGACTCGAGCAGCCTCCACTAATTATAGGGCCGCGGACAATGGCTAATGCTCACATGACCCAGACTGTCCTGAGCGCAGCTCTGAATCCTCCCAGTCCTAGGAGGTGGGGAATATTATCATCATCCTATTGTCTCACACAGACTCTATTTTTAGGACAGTTTCAGATTCACAGCAAAATCGAGCGGAAAGTACAGCGATTTCTCCTGTGTCCCCCCGCCCCCAGGCACGCAAAGCCTCCCCTGCTCTCCGCATGGCACTACGGAGGTGCTGGGTTTTAATCGATGAGCCTACGCGGATACATCACCAGCACCCCAAGCTCAGAATGTGCACTGCGGTTTGCTCTTGGTGTTGCACCTTCTGTGGGTTTCATGAAACATACAGTGACTTGTTCGCATACAGAATAGTTTCACTCCCCTAGAGATGCTTCGTGCCCTGCCTGTTCATCCCTCCCTAACCCAAACCCCTGGTAACCCCTGACCTTCCTTCCTTCCTTCCTTCCTTCCTTCCTTCCTTCCTTCCT